TTTTTTTGCACATTATCAGATGGCATATGGTTGTCACTGTGCCTGTATCCCACACCCACCGGGGAGCAGTTTGGGGTTGCTTTGTACCAGTTTGCAGAATCGGATGATGAACAAAGTTCAGACTTTAAGTTTTGAAGACCCGGCTAGACAAAGCCTTGGCTGGGATGATGTAGCTGGGGCTGGTCCTGCTTGGAGCAGGGGTTGGACTAGATATGACCTCCTGAGGTCCCTTCGACCCTCATTTTCTTTGATTCTGGGATACTTGCAGGGGGGCTGCAAAGAGGATGGAGCTGGACTGACCTCACTGGTGGCAGACGACAGGACAAGGAGCAGCGGGCTCAAGTGGCAGGCAGGGTAGTTTAAGTTGGATATTAAGAACAACCTTCTCATTAGGAGGGTGGTGAAGTACTGGAACAGGTTACCTGGAGAGGTGGTGCAGTCTCCATCCTTGGAGGTTTTAAAGACCCCGGTAGACCAAGCCCTGGCTGGGATGATGTAGTTGGGGCTGGTACTGCTTTGAGCAGGGGGTTGGACTAGGTGTGACCTCCTGAGATCCCTTCAATGCTCATTTTCTGTGATTTCTGTGACTTTCTAGCACAGTTTCTGTCTCCATCTTGCCTCCGTGGCTATTCCAGGTAGTGTCTTTGGTGACGAAGGGGTGGCATTTGGGTTGAGGAATCTGAGAGGCGGAGGGGCTCGGGCATGTACACACAAGGCCATAATGCTAGCTGAGCCCAAACAGGGTCCAAGGGGCTTGTGTGAAGCAGGAGCAAATCACCTGGACCCTGTTTGGGCTCAGCTAGCATTACAGTCTTGTGCGTACGTGCCCCAGGCTCTCGGCCTCTCAGATTCCCTTGGCCTCGCTGCCCGTACATCTGCCTGACCCAGTTCCTCCTGCCCCCGATGAAATGCGAAACTTCAACACATCTCAAGAGTAGGGAAGAAACCGTTGCATTGGGAAAGTTTGTGCAACTGTCAACGTTTTAACAGTGTCTAGGAGAAGCAGGAAACAATTTGAAAATGAATCAGTTCTGACCTATTTAACATGCTGGTCTAGCTGGGGTGGCATGCAGCAGGTCACCATAACCTCATGGGTTGCATTTCACATCAGTGGGTTTGAAACCCTGGTGGAGCTTCATTGCCCCGGCAGGTATTGACAGTACGTTGAGTGTATTGGGTTTGAAAAGGGTATAAGTGACTAAGTCCCCGTGACTCGAGTCACTGCACGGCTTTTGCAGGTTGCATCCATTATTATCAGAGGCAACATGTGGTGGCCTAGATCTATTTAACAATTCCTCCCTAGTCCCAAAACTTCTGAAGTCTCTGGCCAAACCTCCCTTTTCGTCGCACGTGGAGCAGCTTCCTACATCAGGGAGCCTTGGCCTTTCCATTGTTGTTCGTCTGTTATTTTTTCAGGAGTTTATAGAAAACTAGATTGTACTTATCTATATCTGAGCTGGGAAGTGACGTAGCATTGTTCATCTAAGAAGGTGGCTTTTGTCTTAATGCAGAACACAGCAATGCAGCAAAGTCTTCTCTGTATTGCCGGCTTCCGGGAAGTTAGAGACCTGTTTGGGCATAGAGCACGTCCTCCCCTTTGAGTTCAGGATATAATTTTCCAGCGGAAGTTGCCATTATTTCCCTTGGCAATTCTGAATCCTCCTGGGCTTTGGTGGGAGTCCTGGGTGCTGAATGCTGGTAAAGCTCTTGATTGCAGCTGGAAGGCCTGGCTACGCTGCTAAAACTTTGCACTTGTATGTGTAAGCCAGTGAAAGCTCCCTTAACTAATCAACACGATGGCATGACTTTCAGGCTCCCTGAGAATTTCAGCCTCTCTGACTTCTCATGGACTTCAGTGACGGCTTTGGGTGCTGACACCTTTGAAAACCAGGCCATCGGGGCTTCACGTTGCCTTTGCCGTGCACGCTTTCATTTTGTGCCATCCGCTCACAGCCGGGGCTTGTTGATTGCCTGTACCAATTCATCTACTTTCTAGGTATAACAGGAAGCCGTCCCGGCCTGCGCTGAACTTGTTAACACGCTTCCTCCTGTTGTATATTGCTGCCTCTAATGCAGTGCGGCCAGCCAGAAGAGCTTAGCTAGCAGAGAAGTGAGTCATTTCAGACTTGCACTCTGAGGCCCTGAAAATCAAATGCAGCATCCTTTAAAAAACACCGCGCACCGCAAATTAGCAACTGCTTGGGGTAAAAGTGCAGGCTGCACGTTACTTCTGCTTAGAAAAAGTAAATGGCTTTAAATGAGCTGTCATGTGTCTGCAACCAGACTCTTCCAGCCTGGGCCTCAGAGATTTCAGCATTTGGCTATTCTCTGCATGGGCAGCACCGACTGGTAGGAACTGTCCTGGCCTTTGGGGTCAGCGATCTGGGAACAAAACATTCTCTGAGTAGGCTCTGGCATGATGGACTGTAATAGTTCGCAAATAGAAGTGACCTTTCTAATTATGCCGGTAATAGAGCCGTGTTTATTATTAAAGCAGTACTTTGTTGGGGAGGGGGCAGCTGGCCTCATATCCTTGCTCATTCTCTTTATCGCCTTCCCCTTTGAACTGGTGTTGTAGGTTTGGCCGGGAGTCAGATCCGTTGCATCTATTGTCCGCTGGTTCTCCTCCATAAAAGAAGCTCTTATGAAATAATCCGCCATCACATATGTATTTCTTTTAATTGCAAGTGACTGAAAGGAGTGAGCCCTCATTGATGCCTTTCTGAATGGGTTACTGGCTACATGATGTCACTGTAAGGCTTTTTTTTAGGGGTGGGGGGGAGACACAGCCATGTGGCTAATGCACACTTGAGTTGTTTTGAATGCAAACTTGACATCATACCGAAGGCAGCAGAGAACAACATATGCACAGTAAACAGGCAGACTGTCTTATTGATTAACAGATGAGACCTCTATTATCGATCAAAGCTTGGCGAGAAAATTTATCACTTTTAATTTCACTGCTGCCAAATATTTCTGCCTGTGAGCCAGCCGTTACTAAGACAATTTAAAGGCAAAGGAATTCTCTCTCTTTTTTTTTTTTTTAATGGATCTCATGGCACCTCTCTCTGTTTCTGTACCTGCTTTTGTCTGCACCTTGCTCTCAAAACCTGTATTTGGAGGGGGGCAGGGCAGGGCAGGGCATGGAGAGGGTGTTTCTTGGACCCTGCCTGGAAGGGCAGGATGGAGATGAGAATCATTATCCGAATTCCTGGAAATAAGCCACAGAGCAGTTTGATGTCTGAGGATGGGAACGCTTTCAAATGGAGCAGGGAAAGCTTTGTAGCTAAGGTACAGACAACAAGTGATGAAGCCCTTTTTTTTTTTCATTCTTCCCTTCGTACCATCTTGAAGGTTATTCTGTCATACTCTAATCCATGTTTAGTTTCTTAGAGCAGATGAATCAAACTTCAAAATCTCACAAATGTGTTCACAGCTTTGTCCTAGCAGCATATGCTTAGAAGATTGTGTATATTGTTAATCTATTTTTATCTGCAAGTTACTTATCTGCTGTTAGACATCCTGTTTTTTTTCTCATTTTAACTAGAGCCTCTGACCCAATACATGCAGCACATGCTGATAGCAATTTTCTAAGAATTCCCACAAATACCACATCTCTCTAATAGTTGTAGAAATATCTGTGCCTTTCACTAAATTGTGTTGTTTCTGCCACGTTGCTTATCAGATGGTGCCGTGTTCTTTCTTGCCTCCTCTCCTTTAGATAGTGGGACTCGAACTGCTACAATTGGATGGGGGTGCAGGAAACCAATTAAAATGAGATCAGTTGCTGCTCTGATGGAAGTCATTGATGTCTAATGATTTTTTTTTTAAACAAACATTTAATTTCTTGCTGAAAAGCAGCTCTTCCGTTTTAAAAAGCAACGTCACATTAACCGCGCATTTGTTTTCCGAGCCCTTTTTGAACAACACGTTTTGGTTTTGGTCCTGCAACATGCGTGCTTCCCCCACCTTGCTTCTGGGTAAAATAGGGCTTAGACGGCTATGATGTGGAGTGTGAACTATTTTGTCCTTCTATCGAATAGGTTTCCCATTCTGCGAAGCGAGAGACCTTTTTTTTTTTTATTTTATTACTTCTTGGGAATTATCCTAGTTTGTGTCATTTTTCACATTGATCGCACAAATTGGACCCATAGAGGATTGCTGTAGCATGTCCTCAAGAGTGGATAATTCCTGTTATCAGGTGCTGATTGGAAAGCTGTTTTGGTTGGCAGCATTGGACACTGGCTGGTTTAAATTGGTCTCGTTTAAAGCAAAATCCCTATTAACAATTGCAGCTTTCTGAAGAGCCCAGTCCCTATTCTAGCCAGCGCCCAAATGTTTGAGGCCCTCTTCCCTTCCCCCTATAGAAGAAATGGCCCACATTGGGCTGTCTCCTGTGACAGAGGTGTTTCAAGATGGCATTTCCGTCGAAGCATCCGAAGTTGTCCCCGGGGATGGGTACCTTTATAACGTACTTTCTCTCTCTCTTTCTCTGTCTCCAGCGGGTGCCAAGGCGTTTGTCTGTGATCAGTGCGGTGCGCAGTTCTCAAAAGAAGATGCCCTGGAGGCCCATAGGCAGACACATACTGGTAGGTTGATTTTTTCTTCATTTTAAACTCCTTCCCTCCCAAAGGTAGCTGATGTCTGGATGAATTCCCCCCAGTTTCTTGTCCCCTCTGCCTTCTGACGGGAGCATTATCCATCCACCTGATGCTGACAGTTCAGTCGTTCCCTCTTGCAAAATGGGGCTCAGGGCCACAGCAGCCTCAAGCCTGTAAAGTGGCCTCACTGCTTCTGGTCCGAGGGTTGCTGCGTGCAGGGCTGTTTGCTGATAGCCAGTTTTGAGTGAAAGGCGATGTAGACCACGCTGAAGGGAATCAATCCTGCATTGAATCCAGAAGAGGTGAGACCGAGCTCTGTTTTCTCCCAAGTACCAAAACCGGTGTGTAGAGAGGGAGACTCCAAGTTTGATCTTGGTTCCTGGAGGCAAAATAATCCCTAGATATTTTGCCTGCATCTTATATGCCAGTCTGGGAATCTCCTAAAAGTTCCCCCTGAGCAGTGCAAGTTGGATCTGTCGGGGGGCTGAGAGAAGTGACTCTGAGAGTTGTAGGTACAGCAGAGACTCTCAAGATTGCCTGGGTCCATGTCCAGCAAGATGTTTGTCTCCATTGTGGTAATTTATGGTGTCATCTTCCCTCTAAGCTTGTGACTCCCTAGACATAGCCCTCCCTCCCTGCTTTAGATTTCATTTCGGCTCCTGGAGCCCTTCTGGACTCTAGGTAGGTCAGGGGCTGAGAGGAAGAGGTTTCAGCCAAGCAACAGTTCAGAAAAGAAGCCAGGCTCTTTAACTTGAGTCCAAAATCAGCTTGCTGACAAGGTGTTTAGTGGACGCCTGGCTGCTGGAGATGCTGTAAAACTAGGCTGGATGGAGCCATAGAGCAATGGGTATTGCAAGTGTTCGTTAGCTGGACCTGCACAGAGCCTGCATTCATCTAGGGGAGATGGTCGGGGACTAAGCTAATGAGTGCTTCTGCTGTTCCTTAATTTGGAGCATGTTTCTCCTTTAGGCTACAACCCAAGTGTGGCCTGTGAAAATGGAGAACTCACATGTTTTTCCAGATGATCTTGAAGATCTGATGAAGGAGAAATGCATGTCATCTCCATGCCTAAGCTAAATACTTTCTGAACCATCAGATCGTATTTTCAGCTGTGCCGTCCAACATTCACGTAGAAACTGCTTGACAGCTGCTTTCACTGGATGTGAAGTGATCTGTCAAAGACTTCTTGGGCGTGCAACATTTAAAAAAAAAATCTCAGATGGTTTGAATAGAACCTAAGAAAAGGGGTCTGGGGCCACTGTCCCTGGGGAGCTGAGATCTTTCATGCAAGCAAGTCGGGACGGGGGAGATCCTGTTTCGGTCTTTTAACCTGATAGCAAGTCCTGCCCCAGATCTGCTGTTCCATCCCGCACAAAACATGTCAAGAAATCCACTATGGCATTATGTATACAGGCTATGAAAGGTTCATTTGCATAAGTAGTGACCTGAAGTGGCTGCCCAGCTTCCTGTAAAATAATTTGAGTGCTTACATATACCTCCATCCCACAGACCACTGGGAAGGAACCAGGGGAGCCAGAACAATGCTGGTCTTTGTAGGCGTCCTCCTGGTGAGCGCCGCACTCCTGTCCACAATATCTCTCTTCTTCAAAAAAGGAAAGCGAAGGATGGCTGTTTCTCACTTAGGCCTTATGTGAGCTTGTGCTGCTCAGAGGTGTTATCACTGCCAGGGAAGTGGAAACGGGCAGGAAGCACTTATTATCTACATCAACAGTTGTCTTGTTGAACTTTCTCACCTGCTAGCAAAAAAACCCCCAGAAAACAAACCAAGAAGTGCAGAGGGTGTTGCAGTAATATGTGAGGAAGGGGGTATCAGTGTTTTTTCCTGCTGGGTCATAGCTATCAGTACCCTTTCCCCAGGCCTGAGAATAAAGAGGTTGAAGTAAAATGCTGTTGTTAAACAACTGCGCAATGTTGGTTGCTCAATCACATGTCTCAGTTGTGGGTGAGGTTATCGACCTGTTTAATTCTGTTTGCCGAAATCAGGCTTTCACAGATGCTTCTTCTTCCCCCTCCCCGCCTTAATGATTGATTCGTTGGTATTTTGACCAAAGGGAATTATTATGTGGATGCAAAATTCAGATAAAATATTTAATAAGAAGGATTGGTACACATTTTGATAGGTTGCCAAGACTATCCAGTGGCTAAGATCACAAATAAGGATGTTACACGTACCTTGGTCATATTTTTAAAGTTAACATAAGCATGGAGGAGCCAATGAGTGCTTGCAAGTCTATGGGACTTGTACTTCTAAGTCATGTAGTCAGTTTGAGACTCCTACTCCCACCTCTTTTTCATCTGTTGATATGAACAATGACTTTGTCCTGCATCTTGCGTTCTGCAGAGGTCATGTCTGATTGACGTAGGGTACGTATGGAGTTGATTTGAGAAGCCGGTTGGTACATCAGGGCAGCCGAACATTCAGTCCCTCCAACTCAGGTTTCAGGAAGTAGATTTTTTTGTTGCCTGGCTTGAGGGCATGTGCTAGAGAAAGAGAGATGGACATTTTTAGGGGGCTGGTTCTGGGGCTGAAGCATAGCTGGGACTCGGTCTTTATGTAACAGTCTCTGAGAAGGAAGCTCCAATGAGCGGTGTCTAGACAGAATTTCATCCCCGGTATAAGCAGGC